CCTTCTGATGACAGGACAGGCTGTGAGCCCTGTGCTCTGCACCTAGAGGAGGTTGAGAGGGATCTGATCAATTCTGATCAGTTTCTGAAGGGTGGGGATCAAATGGATGGGACCAGGCTCTTCTCACCACTGCCCAGTGATTGAACGAAGGGCAAAGGGCATAAACTGGAACATAGGAAATTCCATATGAATGTGATAGCACTGGCACAGGCTTCCCAGAGAGGTGGTGAAATCTCCTTCTCTGGAGATATTCAAGACCCATCTGGACACCAACCCATGCAACCTTCTTAAGGGAACTGCTTTAAGGACGGTTGGACAGGATCTCCTGAGGTCCCTTCCAACACCTACAATTCTGTGATTCTCTAACATTCTATATTGGCCGAAATATAATTGCTCCAGCTGGCTTGAATGTATCTGGAAACAGAAAGTGGCCTGCAAAAAAAACCTGTTGAATTCATTCCCCTGGGCTGTGGAGCACTTCGAAATCCATTTCTCTATCATATCAGTTATCATATTAATTGGTAAAAACTCTGCTGGATATTGGGCAAAAAAGTCAGTGCACAAAGGCTGATGATCCATACCCTTCTTGTTACTTCTGAAGAGGACTAAGAACCCGGCTGTGCTCTGAGTAAGTGATTAAGGAGCTGCTCTACTAATCTATCTGGAAGATTTTTCCTACTTGCCATTGATGGTGGAGAAAGTCCAAGGAGAATTCATTTTTACAAGTGTTATCTCGAATTATCAGCCAAGTCACTTCCTGCCCACTTCTATCATTTAGTGAAGAGAACTAAGTATGTGGTTGCCACACTTGGTTCTTTTCTTTCTGTGATGAACAGCTGCTGAAAAAGAGGAGCTGGACACCAAATACAACACGTGAATTTCACTGCTTGCATCTTTCTCCCTTTTCCCACCACCACATTTGAACACCTGTTTTTCAGATACAAGCACTTACACAAAGCAGAATAACTTGGGTACACTTCTTGTATGAAATAAAAGCACCCACTGCTGAACACATACAGGTGAAGGCAGAAAGAGCTGAGCTCACCAGGCAACAAGAAAACAAGCCTTTTGAAACACACATCTTAGTTTTCATTTTGGGATGTTAATTGCTCTGTCATACCAGCACTCCACATCAAAAAGTCAATAATAAAACAGTAAATACTCACAAAAGATGCAGTACAGCAGGCTTCTGAACAGTTACAAACATGAAGAAAATTAGACTAGAAATATATTATGGACATGGTAGAAAAAATGGCTCAAGGAGCACTGCACACTTTTGTTTCTCTTTTAATTACATACTGTTAATAGCATATGCCTTTCTAGCTCCATTTGTCACAGTGAAAATCAAACAAAGCACAGTTGCACTCAATTGATATTTACAGACACCTAGAAGCAAACCACCTTTGGGTTTCTTCCGTTCTGGAATGAAGAGACATGGCAGCCACTGTGAGCGGTGGCTGCACGTGTCCAACATTTCAGCTTACATTCAACACAAAGATTTCTGAGAGAGCAATTTGTGCGATGGCATCAGAACCTGGTTTAGATAACTCTGTACACCTGAAGCGTGATCTTTCCAGTAACAATGAAAAAGTCAGACTGACTAAGGGGAACAAAGCCAGGCTGGATGTGGCTCTGGGCAGCCTGGTCTGATGGCTGGCAACCCTGCCCAATGGGCAGGGGGGTTGAAACTAGATGATCTTTCAGCTCTTTTTCAACCCAGGCCATTCTATGATTCTATGAACAGTTTTTGCAAGCGTATCAATACTTGCAACAAAAAGAAATCATAATAGAAGGGGTTGTTTGTATAATATAGTATATATTAGATATGTAGAGATATATTAGTTCTTCTCATAAATTCAGTGCTGGTGAAAGGTACCAAGGACTTCAATTTGTCCAATGAACAGCAAACACAGGGATTGCAATGGCAGACATTTCCTCTCCACTGCCCTCCAACTCGCCTTGCTCCAGAGCACTGGCTCTGTAAGAGGCAAGTCCAAGTCTTCGGGACTATTCAGTCCTTGGCCTCTCTTGCTGAGAATACAAAAACAGCGATAACTAATACTGCGCTGAAGCCAAACTCCAAGCCAAAGTGAAGTGGCTTTGTTCTAACAATAGCAATGTTTTTCTGTACTGATTCTAACATAGCTGAGGACCCGGTCTCCATTGTGCATGACTGAAAGGTGGTTTTGGTGTTGTGGACACATGCCCATAAGGCACTGGACTGAGTTCCACCAACTCAAATTTCAGAGCACTGCAGAACAGGAAGGAAAACAGCAGAATCCAAAAGGAAGCTCAGAAAAAGCCTCAATCAAGTAAAACAATATAAAACAAAGTCAAATAAAACTCAAAATGAAAATTATAAAACACGCATTCTTGCTCTGGACTGAAACGTGGAAAAATTCTCCAACCAGAGACAGTTATTTAATTCCTTTCCCCCCCCCTCCCAAAGTTTTGAATTTATTAATGCTTGAAAATTAGCCATCAGCTATTCATGCAAAATATATTTTTAGGATTTTTTTTTTAATAATACACAATATTGTCAATATAACTCTTTCTGAAAGGCCATACTACAGAAAATACAAAATTAAACATTATATGCTCATCTAATATTAGATAATTCATTTCCCAAGTCCCAAGTATTCATTTACCTGATAGATCTGACTTTGCCATTCTTCCTCTTCAGTGTCCTTCTGGCATGCAAAGAGTTCCCTGGAGAACCCTATCAGATAGCTTTTAGCAGAATCTAATGGAAAAGGAAACTCTGATCTATCAGTTAAAATACTTCAGAGATTTTTTGCACACGGTCTGGAAGAGGGGGAAAAATTCTGCTCTCAGAGCAGCAAGGCTGCAAAAAAGGTATTTGTACCATCTAACTCCCATTTGGGTGTAAGTAAAGTGATGTAAATTTTTTTTTTGCTGGTCCTCTGTGCCAGGGTAGATTGCATCTGACTGGAACGTAAATGTCTTAAAAGAGTATGATCTTGTACTGACGTGAAGTCAATCTCAACACTTCTGCCTGTTTCAAATTATTTTTACATTCATTTACTCTGCTACAACCAAGAACAGAGTATGTCCCATAAAGCACTATGTAAGAGTGAAGTATTATAATTAATACTTCTTTTGCAACTTTCTGACCCTTTTTTTTCCTTTTAAAAAAATAAGGAAACTATTGTTACTCTTAAAAACCTGTACTTAAAATGACATTAAAACTCCATTTTTACCCAAACTAACAAAAACCAGTGAAATTAAAACTCCAGCTCATAGTAACCATTCTC